GGGGCGTGCCCCCGTCCCGTCCCCCCCCCCCCCCGAGCCCGCCACGGGGTTCGGCACCGCGGCACAGCACCGCGGGGTGATGCCGAGCCATGCAAGCGGCACCCCGTGGGCAATGTGCCGTGCTGGGTGCTCCTGAGGTGGCACCTGCGGTGCAGGCAGCACCCTGACCCCGCACCCCAGCACCCCACGGGCACCGTGCTGTGCTCAGCACCCCACGGGCATCACCCCGACCCTGCACCCCAGCACCCCATGGGCACCGTGCCGTGCTCAGCACCCCACGGGCATAACCCCGACCCTGCACCCCAGCACCCCACGGGCATCACGCCAACCCTGCACCCAAGCACATTGCAGGCACCGTGCCGTGCTCGGCACCCTGCGGGCATAACCCCGACCCCGTGGGTGCCGTGCTGGGCACCCCACAGATAGCACCCGGCCCCACAGCTCAGCACCCCATGGGCGCTGCGCCTTGCTGGGCACCCCATAGATAGCACCCCAACCCTACGACCTAGCACCCCACAGGTAACCGTGCCGTGCCCAGCACGCCATAGAGAGCACCCCAGTCCCATGCCCAGCACCCTGAGGACACCGTCCCATGCCCAGCACCCTGCAGGCATTGCCCCAGCCCCACAGCCCAGCACCCCACACCCAGCACCCCACACCCAGCACCCTACATCCATCCCCCCGCCTCCTCCTCCATCCCCGGGGAGCGGCACCCACTTGACGCAGTAGATGAGATGGTCGTGCCAGTCGACGGTGCCCGTCTTCTTGCCGTCGGTCTGGGTGGCCGTCATGGCCAGGCGGGTGGCGTTGTTCTGGAAGTACTGGGTGACGCTGTTGACGCAGCAGTCGGCCAGCCCAGGCTGCGTAGGGTTGAGGGGGGCATAGCAGACATCGCTCAGCGTCACCTCCCTGCCCGCCACCGGTGCCCACGCCGTGGTGGCCGCCAGCTGCTCCTGCAGCTCCAGCAGCGCCCGCAGCACGTCCTCCGACAGCACCCCGCTGAAGTTCTTGGCGCCCAACACCACCGACTCGTAGCCGGAGCTGGGCCGGCCTGGTGCCGTCACGATCACCTGGTTGGTGCGGAAGAAAGGACCGAAGTGTTGGTCGTAAAAGGCTTTTTCTTGCCGGGCACGGCTGCCCGGCGCCGACCACAGCTCCACCGGATCGGTGGTGAGACGTAGGGTAACCAAACCGGCCGATAAACCGCCTGCCAGCACCACCACCACCGCCAGCACCGTCACGGGGTGCCCGGCCACCAGCGTGCCCCACCGGCGGAAAGCCCTCGCCAGGACGCGGTGGCTGGCGTCGCTCAGGCATGCCGAGCGGCTGGCGATCCGTGCAGGTGCCGGTTGCGGCGCGGTGCCCTTCTTCTTGGCCCGCCGGCACTGGCACAGCAAGGCGACGACGAAGACGAGGGCAAAATGGCCGAAGAGCAGCCCGCAGAGGACCAAGGCGCCGTTGGCGTTGCCCAGGAGAAAGTGGGGCTGTGGGGTCGGGGGGGCGATCACCGGCGGGCAGGATTCGGCACAGTCCTGGCAAGAGCAAGGCTGTTCCTGGGTGCTGAGAGCCTGGTTGCAGCGCCAGGCCGTCCCGCCCAGCGGCACGATGGCATCGCCGGGCTGCGTGCCGTTGGGCACCAGCTGGAAGTTGATCTGCAGCGGCGCCAAGCCGTTGTTTTTATCCCCTTGGAAATCCAACCAGCGCTGGGTGGTGCAGAGCCGGGCGCCGTAACGCCCGCACATGGTATCGATGGCGTAACCGCCGGTAGCCGGTAACCGGACGCCCCGGCAGGAAGTGAAAGAGTCGTCGGCGAAATACTGCTGGTAAAAACACTGGTACTCCACGACGGCGACCTTGGGCGTCCCCTGCACCATGGTGCGGTTGATGACGCGGGTGACGTTGGTGAAGAGGCTCTGGTCGGGGCTGCAGATGTTGTTGCAGTAAAGGTTGGCAAAATTCCTGGCACACGCCGGGCAGCGGGAAAGGACGGTGCCGGAAAGTGCCACGCTGAGCTGGAGGGCGCTCAGTTGCGCCAAGGAGCAGCAAACCCGCGTCGTCTCCGCGTTCCCCCGCACCAGCTCGGGGCAGACGGTGCGGAGCAGCGCCAGCAGCGGGCCCGTGGCCACCCGCGCCGGCGTGTTGGAGAGGCATGGCACTTTGGAGGACACCAGCGAGATGTTCACCTCCGGGTTGCGACCGCATTCGCCGTAGAAGGCACAGTAACCGGCACGGTGGATGGGAGTGAACGTCGGTGCAGCCTGCGGCGGGGAGGGGGATTGGTGGGCAGCACCCCGTCCCGCGGGGCACGACACCCAGCCCCTCCAAACAGCACCTGACG